TTCTCATTGTGCTCCTCTAGAGGATTACTGGTATTTGGTGGGGATATGTTATTTTGGTTTTTCATGTTATTATTTTTTCTCTGTGATTTTGACATGTGAATTTCTTTTGTAGTTTCTGTCTCTTGTGTGATACTCGGGCCTTCAAGTTTAGTTCTGCTTCTTTTTTTTCAACTTTATGTGTCTTTGTGGTTTACTTTTTGGGTATGAAGAGCTGGTTCGTCTAAGCTTCTGGTTCTCTCTTTTGATTTTATTTTGTCGTGGCTGGATTGATTTTGTTTTCAGGAGTTCCACGGTGGCCCAATTCCAATGTGGATCAGAAGTTTTCAGACTTTCTCCTTAGGTCTGGAATCTTCTAAGAATGATTTTGGTCTCAGGAACTTGGGTGTTGGACTGACCTGAGACCCTGACAGTGGGGGTGCCACACAGGGATGCAAAGGCAGATGTGGTGGGAAGAAACCCCAAGATTTTCCAGGGAGTGGATTGAGTAGCTGGGTTGTACTGGATGCAAAGGATCAGGGAGAGGAAAGGTAAGCCTTGGAGCCCCAGAAATAGATTGTCGGTGAGGAAGCAGTACTGGTTCCCCCTGTGTCTGGGGCCCCAAGTCTAGGGATGGCGCAGGTCCCAAACTAGGAGTAGCGAACAGCGGGGGAGATGGAAGGTGAATGTGGCTTGGGGAGTCAAGGCACGGAGGGCTGCACTATAGACTTACCCATGAGGCCTGAGGATAGGAGTGCAGGCTGGGAGAGTTAGCCGGTGGTGCAGGTCCAGGGACCCAGAGAGAGGTGAGGGCGGGGCCAGGACCAGAAGCGCTGCTCCTGGGGCCCAAGAAAGGCACTCAGTTAGTCTGGGTGAGAAGGATCAGGAAGCAGTATTGGTTCCCCAGGTGTCTGGGGCCCCAAGACTAGGAGTGGCGCAGGTCCCAAACTGGGAGTAGCGAACAGCAGGGGAGATGGAAGGGTGAATGTGGCTTGGGGAGTCTAGGCACAGAGGGCTGAGCTATAGACTTTCCCCAAGAGGCCTGAGGATAGGAGAGGGTATCTGGTTTTTATACTTATACTTAATAACATGTTCCAGATACTATTTTATATGTTAAAAGTGTCTCTCATGTTATATTTTGATTTTATTATTGAGCTTGACTACACAGTATTTCTTATTTTAATATATTAAATATTGACATTTTTTAAACAAGATGGCTACCTTTTGCATCTTGCCTAACAAATCCTAACACAACAAAAGAATATCAAGTTATTCTCTTATTGACTGGATAGTGTTTTCAGAATTTTGAATTTAAATGCTTTTAGATATACCTATATGCTCTGGTTCACAGACTCCTCTGGGCTTTATTCTCTCGTACTTTGATAATTTTACCCATTTTACCTTAAGTACATGAAGCTGTACTCTCTCTACTACCCCAAAAATAAAGTTATATAAAATGAATTTCTCAGATATTTCATTAGTCTGAATTAAATTACTGTTCTAGGTATACAAACATAATCTATGTATTTGAGGAAATGAAGCTTTGATAGAATTTGAGGGGGACTGACAGATTTTATTAAGAATTATTTAGGTTTGTAAACAGACACTCCAATTCATAGAGGTGGATGATTTTGCCTTTAACAAGCTTTTAAGGCACTCTTGTGCTATATCTTTACACTTCAAACTAATTAACGGTAACCCTATTGTATCTGAGCCTAGATGCTGGACTGGAGATTGGCAGGTGCACATTTCATCCTTGCTGTGATTGTGATGCTGTGGAGCTCAGGAAAAGTGCTCTCCATGGATTTAGCAACAGAGGTAATGGAAACCAGCATATGAGGTGATACCTGGGGGGCTAGGGAAATGGCTCAGTCAAGAAGGTGCTTGCCAAGTGGAGAAGAGGATGGACATGCAGATCTCTATATGCAAGCCAGTTGCAGCACATTAGGAAGGTGAAGACAGGAGAATCCTAGGTTGGTCAGCCAATCTACCCTGATCAGGGAGGGAGCTCCAGCTTCAGCCAGAGCTCCTGTCTTGAAGAATAAGGTATAAAATGACTGAGGAAGATGCTTGGTATCAACCTCTGGCCTCTATATGCATGCATGCATGTACATACGCACACACTTCCTCACACAAAGTAAAACATGTGTAAACATACAAGAAAAGACTGCATTTTGTAAGCATAAACCCTTTCAACTACAGTCAGTAAGAGCTACACCTTGGGCTGGAGAGATGGCCCAGCAATTAAGAGTAGTGATTGCTCCTGCACAGGACCTGGGTATGGTTCCCAGCACCCACATGGTGACTAATAACCATCCATGACTCCAGTTCCAGGGGATCCAATGCCCTCTTCTGGCCTCCACAAGCATTGCATGCAGAGGTTCACTTGCACACAAAACATTCGTATATATGAAATAAAAATAAATATATTTTTGAAAAAGGAGCCACAACTGAAAGTAAAATGCCTTCATAACATAAAATCAATAAAACAAATATTTTCTATTTGTATTGCAAATGACATTCAGGGTTGAAAACTTTTTTATTTTTTAAAGTTTTTTGTTTTGAGAATTCCATACATGAATATTGTGTTTGAACTCTTTCATCCATCCCAATCCCCCACCAACAAACTCTCAACTCTTCCCATGTCCCCCACAGCCCCACTCCTTTTCTTACCCTTTGATTATTAGTGTTACATACATGTACACACACACACACACACACACACACACATATATGACACACTGAGTTTCTTTAGTGGTCTTTGTACCTGTGTTCAGGGCTGACCAGTTGGGGTTAGATAACCTCTCAGGGAGTGAGTCCATGGAGAAAACTGAACCTCCCTCCCTCAGCATCCACTGATTGTAGTTCTTCAACTTAGATGAGAGCTCCTGAAATTTCCCCCGTCCTCATTGGCATGTCACCTGATTCTGTTGTTACGCAGATTCTGTTGGGCTATCAGACTGTGGAGATTTCATAGGTGTAGCTTTCCCATCATATCTGGAATGCATTAACTAGCACCAGGAATCTTGTCCCTCTGGCTCTTACAATCTTTCTGTCTCCTCTTCCATGAAGTGTCCTGAGCTTTAAGTGTAGAGGCTGCATTGTAGATGCATTACTTAGGGATGAAAAATAAAAACAAACTAGGGGGAAGAGGGGAAGAAGCAGTTTGAGAGAGGAGGATAGTAGAAGACAGACATTATCACAGGATAAAAGGGGAAAATGGGGGATACTTTAACTGGGGAGGGAGGGAGGAGGGCTATACAGGGGAGAGAGGAAAGAAGGACAAATATTTAGATGATATGAATAACCAAAGGGAAATATATTATTTCAAAAGCCTACTGAAAAATAGACATACAATATACATGTGAGTGTATGTACAGCTGAAGACTATATAACAAAAATCAGTACCAGGCAAGGAAATCCCCCTTTGAGTTGTTGGTCAGCATAGTCCAAGATACTCCCAAAATAATATAGGTTATTGACATTGCCCTCGGTTGCCTCCCAGAACTTGAAGGTAAGACAAAGACAGGACATACTGCAGACACGGGACTTGGAGTATTTGAGCTGGAACACCCCTGGTAACCTGCTTCTAAAGCCTAGCTCTCATAGCATTAGAACATGCTATGCAAGCTGCCAAGGGAGAAAACCATTTAACTGTTCTATCCAGATATAAAACTTACAAACCACAACTATGACTGACCCAGAAAATGATCTATATTGGTGCAATAGTAGCACTTTTATCTTGAGGGTAATCAACAGCTGTCTAAATGAACTTAAGGCCTGCTCAATAGGAAGGAATCCATGCATCTTACTGCAAACATAGTCAAGTATAAATGTTTGGAAAGGTCATAGACCCTAGAAAAGAACCTACTGCTGTCACTTTCCTAGACCAACAAAATTTATTATTATAGTCTAAATATGTATCCTTATATGTAGAGATAAGAGTACCTCCCACCATTCATTAAAGAAGCTTCTTTTTGCAACAAATGGAGACTATTACAAAGTTACACAACTGATCAAAATGAAGAGAATAAAGTGACTGTGAGATGCCCAGCCCTAAGGTTGCATATTTTAAAAAACAAACAGTAACAATTATTGATCTCAGAGAATTCTAAGTGTGTTACTTACATAGTTATTAGAAGAAACTTACAATAATAAGATTCATATTTCCCAAAAAATCCTAAAGTATAATTTATTGTCACTTCAACCATACTTTAATTATACCATTGCCTTAAGATGAGGTGCTACTTTGTAAAAATTTTTTTGAGATAGTTCTCCCTGTAGCCACAGCTGGCCTGGAACTTGCTATGGAGACCAAAGTGGCCTCCATCTCACAGAGATCTAGCCACCTCTGCCTCCCGAGTGCTGGAATTAAAGACATGTGCCACCATGCCCAGCTTATTTTGTAAAATTTGAGGTTGTTTGCATGCCAAATTTAATGCAGTTTTGGCCAACCCTTTTATTGCAATACTTATATTTTCTTGACACCATGAATGAAGAACAAAGAAAAAGAGCTACAAGGACATCTCCCACACAGGAAAGACAACCCACTTGGCTTATTTGGTCTTCTTGGGAACATATAGTCTCTTCATCCTTTGAATTATGTAAAATAAGAGTTCAAAATACAGTTTAATAAAATACCAAATTTTGATTAGGTTCTATGATTTTCCCCTGAGGATTAAAATATTTTTGAAAGAAAACAAACTGTTTCTTGTGGGGAATAGTTGGAAGAATAAGAACATTTTTGGAGTATATTTTTATTCCCATTTGGTTGACTGTGGAGCTTTTGTTCTCCTAAGAAGAAGCTCCAGGGGCTTAGCAGGATTTGCCAAACCTTGGGCTCATTCAGCAGCAAGCAGTGGTAGCAGACAGCCAGGGTGGTAGTGGGTGATGCCCTCTAGTGTTACAACTCTCCTGCAGGGCCTTGAGTGCAAGGACTTCTGCCCTAGGGTGGCAGGTGCTAGAGATCTGGTACAACCTTAGGAAGGTGGGATTACCTAGCCCATGACAGCAGCTAATGTTACAACTAGTCGGAGAATGTTTGGGATCCTTGGCCCTTAAGGCCGGGTGGTTGTCTCTGGGATGATTCCTGTGTCTACTGTTCCCCATCTTGGACTGTTTACAGTCAGCTGTCCTTCGACCTGGGCTCTCTGCTTCCTCACATTCTCTACTCTTGCTATTTCTTTTCTTCTGCCTTGGCCTCTTCCTAGTGGAGAACTTCTCAACTGCCTGTTTTTGCTGTGGCTGTTGTCACAGCTGCCAGTGCTGAGCAGGCAGCTACTGTGGCCATTTGCTTCTGCTGAACTGTCTCTTCTACCACTTTGCTGCCAGCTCCTGTTTCTGCTGTTGTCAAGACCACCAACTGCTTCTGTAGCTCTGCCCTGCCTATGATGAATAGCCTAAGAAGTTATGAGAAGCACGACACAAGTTTGGCATGGGGTTTACTGTTTCAGTGAGAGGGGAGGGGACGCACAGAGGATGGATGTCTCTCAGTCAGCTTACAAAGTGGGCTCAGTGAGTTGTACAGTCAGAAATATATACCAATTACAGCAAACCTTCATGTAAATGAAACTTTATATGTATACCAATCATGGCATTTTGCCTTTGCTCCAGTCACAATAAATCTTCTACTAGGCCCCCAAAGAAGTGCTTCGACTATGGCCTGAATGGAAATCATTGCAGGGGAAGTCTACCCAGCCTATATAAAATAATCATGACTGGAACACACCCTCAGAAGCAACAGCTGTGTCTCAGTGTGGGGTTGGCCACCGTTCCACGAGGACAAAGGGAGCAGAAGCGACGAACGGGGTCAGGATGGCCAGTGAGCACTGATGGAAGAAAGCCCTTCCGGGGAGGCAGGATCAGTGATACAAACAGCTCCAGACTCAGTGAGACAGCTCCAGATTCAGTGAAACAGCTCCATTTATTCAGTGGGGATTAGGGAAAGTATAGTGTGGGGGCAGTAGCCAATGCTTCAGCTGATTGGTGCTCATAGTATGCTTTATTTACATGTGACAGTAGGCTCCCATCATCTGACTAATTATCATATAGTAAAAACCTGGGGGTAGTTTTTACTCCAGGTAACTATGCCAAAGGTCATGTTCCAAATAAGGTCAAGCACTTTCCAGGTAAGTCAGGCAGAGAGCAGGAGGCCCCCTCCTGAGAAGGGGAGTCCTTCCATATAGTGCCAAGCCCCTTGGAGCTATCCGACATGGAGGACTACAACCCTAGCAGCAGGGTTCCCCAACATCTCAGCATCAAGCAGCTTTGATAGTCATGCAGCTTCCTCAAAGCCCCTGTGCAATGTCCAAATCGGCCAAGAGCCAGCATAAGAGCAATCTCTCTGGTCATTTGACTGATAATCTTTTGCTCAAGGCAGCCAAGGAAAAGTCTAACAGCCATCATCACTTAAGGAACCAAACCACCCATCCACAACATACTTGATCATTTATAGGAAAATAAACATCAGAAAGAACACCCACAATAAGAACTTATTAACATTAATATTGACTAAATGTTAACTGTGCTTTAACACTGTTCAACACTGACCTAGCACCCCACAGTGAAATGGGGCCCACGAACCTGTCTCACTTTGGTCAATAATGAAAGGTTGTTTCCTTTGGAAGTTATTTCTTCCACTGTTTTGAGTTTCTCTCTGAAAAATTCTTCCTTTTCCGGTTTCCATGTTGTGAACAAACATGTAGAAGAAAGGAGAAATCCTAGAGCTCGTTTCCTTCTTGAGAATGGTCTCAGGCACTTAGAAAAACAAAGTGTTCCCTACAACGGGATAGTGCAGGGCCATTAACAGGAACGGTGAGCTCGGCAGGGAAAAGAGACTTGCCAAATTGTGCAGCCATCCGTGGAAGACCTAGATGAAGTACAAAGAAAGACCACAGGCAGCAGATAAACAATGTTTACCTGTGACAGTAGAGCTGCTGGGAAAGCTCTCCACATTGCTCATGCTTGTGAATACTTGTTGACAATTGTGTGGAAGGAGACAGTTAAGTTCCCGTTGCACACAGAGAGAATTTTGTTCATCTGTGTATCCCTTCACTCTAAGTCCAAAGGCCTAGAACATAGTGGAGTTTCAGTGAGTCGTATTGCTATATAATGCATGAACTATAAAAATAAAATAGCATGACATTTGGAGTTTTGCTTTTAAAATCCATTCAATATGTATCAGAAATTTATACAGTAATATGAGCAAAATACCGGGCTAGGAACTGAATAGAACAAATAAAACTCAGACAGCATAGGTTTCAAGTCACACTGTAATCAGGAATATAAATCTATTATAACATCTTTTATAAGGTAAAATGATGAAAGACATAAAGTGCCAAGGTCACGATAAGGAAAACGCTAAATCCGAAAAAATAATCAGCAAATATGCTAGATTTTAAAAACAAACCTGGGGCTTTTGTTCTGTTACTATTCCTGGGATATGTTCCACTTCTGTGTGGTTCAGACCCCAAAAGTCTAGTTTTCTCTCTAAAACATGACTCCATGAGACATTATAAAATGTGCAATTGGCACATCATTTAATATAATGGTAGAAAATGACTAACGAATGGGCCTCCCTTCCCTGCCCTTTAGGCCTTTGATTCTGGAGTGACAGGTGTGCAACCACCACCCACAGTCAGGGAAGAGAAATCAACCACTGACCTCGCAGCCAAGCTCTTGCTTCTTGATGAGTTGGTGTCCTTGGAGAATGATGTGTCTGAGACCAAGAAGAAGAGGAGCTTCTCTGGCTTTGGCTCTCCTCTAGACAGACTCTCAGCGGGCACGGTAGAACACAGAGGAAAACAGAGGTAAGTGGGCAAGGAACATGTTGCTGTGGTTCTTTCATGCTAGATTCTGCAACAGCAGATTTCACATTAGGAATACAGTGGAAAACTTAAACATTAACAGAAACTGAGACTGTGCTCAGTTACTTGTAGGTAAATGATGATTTAGGAAGCAGCACAATTATTACAGTGTTCTTGAATATCATTGTGTTTCCTAAGATTGAAAGAAATGGTTATTTTAAGATATCATTGCCTGTGGCAGAGGAGAGTTATGTGTGATAGGACAGTCCAAACACTTGAGCATTGTATTTAAACATAATAGCCAGAGTCTTGTCTTTATTTTACCTTTAATATGGAGCTTTATAAATTAATATGAATTAACTCATTCTCCTATATATCAAGTAGTGATGAATGGCCTGGGTTTTGTCAAAACATGTATGCTTAAATCAAATTTCTACACTTTTCTGGCCTTGTGAGTTCTACAAAGAATGTTATTTTCTGTCATGTTTAATTCATTTCTCTATAAAATGGACATAATTACTTATCTATATAAAAATCAAATGACATAATCAAATCTAAATGTGTTGTAAGCTGTTAATAATTATAAAGTAATTAGGATAAATTCCTTAATGTTCTCCCTTAGTTATTGACTAAAGAATCATTGAGTGACTCTCAGTACTGTAAAACGGTGATTCCACACTTCATTTTTCTGTCCCCTTAATTTCTGTTTCTCTTGCTGTATATTTCATATTGGCAATGGCATGATCGTCCCCACTTACCATGTCTTGGGAATTGAGTAAGATTCCTTTTGCTTACCCTGACCTTCTCTGTTCTCACTGAATTCTCGAAGTCCTATTTTTATATTATAAATGCGTCTTCCTCACTGAGGTTTCTCTAATTCTGTCTTAAATTGTTCTTCACTTTGGCTCGTTCTCTGGTCTTTCCTTGTATCTATCTCTGCACCAACCTCACCCGTTTCCTACCGGTGCACCCTCTCTTCTCCTGTGAGGAAGATCTTCTACACAGAAAACTTTGCTGTGAAATAGTACTCGTTATTGTCAGTGAAATAAACCCTTATGAAATCCTATAAAACAGAACTGGCACCTTATCATTTCTTGACCATTTGTGTATCCTTATGAGGAATGGCTTGGTTGACTCACCCAGGACTTGCCATTGTGGTTGCTGATTCTGTGACTTGTCTGTGATAATGTGGTTATAGAAACCAGTTTTCCTCTGTACTGAAAGATTTTCAAAGCTATACTCAAAATGAAGTCATTTGCTACAGAAATTTTTCTAAACTATGCTCAGAAAACAGTCTCATACTAGTTTTGAAATTTAGGCTCCAATATGGACAAAAACAATTTAGCTCCACTTTTATAGTCTAGATATGGTGGGAAAGAGAAGGGAAATAAGGACAGTTACTGTTTCATAAAAAATCAAATACTAATAAACAAAAATATAATGAATTTGGTACAAAATAATAAGACCTGGGGTTAAAGAGTAACTTACAAAGGCCAAGGGGTCCTGGGAGATGGCTCTGTAGGTGAAAACACTTGTTATGGAAGCCCAATGACCTGAATTCAAACTCCAGAATCCGTAGTGAAAGGAGAGAACCAACTCTACAAAGTTGTTCTCTAACCAGTGATGTGCCCGGGCATGTGAACACCCCCGCCAAACACACACACACACACACACACACACACACACACACACACACACACACACATAACAGAAGCAAAATTATAACAACATAAAAATTTGAAAAGAGAAGGCTCATTCAGAAAATCCAAGGATATGTAGACTTTTAGAGGTAAAACTCTGTGTTTTATAATAAATATTTGCTTTCTCCTGGATCTCAGGAAGGTCAACCAAATAATATAAAAATAAATATGCAGGGGCTGGAGAGATGGCTCAGCGGTTAAGAACACTGACTGTTCTTGCAGAAGACCCAGGTTCAAACCCCTACACCCGCATGACATCTAACAACTGTCCTTAACTCCAGTTCCAAGGGATCTGACAGCCCTTTCTGTCCTTCGCGAGTGTTGCACAACACGGGTGCACTTACTTACATGCAGGCATAACACTCATATACATAAAATAAAAATTAAAAAAAATACAAATGTCATACCTAAATTCACATATATCAATTTGTAGTTTCATAAATAGACAACAAATACAAACATATTACATAATCATGAATAAAATACAGATAGACGGGGCTGGAGAGATGGCTCAGTGGTTAAGAGCACTGACTGCTCTTGCAGAGGACCAGGCTCAATTCCCAGCACCCACATGTGAGCTACGAACCATCCTTAACTCCAGTTCCAGGGGAAGCTGAAGCCCTCTTCTGACCGCCACAGAATTGCATGACATGGGTACACTCACATACATGCATGCAATACACTCATACGCATAAAATAAAAATAATAAATAAATAGATATTTTAAAAATACAGATAGACACTTCTATACTGCACACTAAAGCTTCCTCGTGGCAGTTTCTTTAGGCGGTATAATAAAAATCAATGCACCTAACAGCATTGCAAGAAATAAAGAAAAATCAGCAGGCATTTCATATCCATATGAACAGATTTTCACACATCAAGTATATAAAACTACTATAAACATACACAAATGTAAAAAATATTTCTCCCATGAACACATCCTAAGGCGACTTGCTTGGCCAACCAGAGGAACCACAAAGTAGCATAAGAATTAGCCATAAGAATTACATTTTTATCATTCTATTTTTTTCTTGGTTTTTCTCACAAGATTATAATACATGTATAATAAAAATAAAAATAATATTTAGTTGAAAGTTTGTGAAACGTGCTGATAAGATGGCTCAGCAGGTAAAAGTCACCTGCCATACAAGTCTAACAACCCATCTTCTATCCAGAGAATCCACAGTGGGAGAGATGTAACTCCTGCAAGTTACCCTCTGATCGCCACACTTATGCTTTGGCAAGCACCATGACTCAGGCACATCACAAACACAGAAACATACAATAATAATAACAATAAAATAAGTTTTTCTTTTTATTTTATGTATGAGTGTATTGCCTGCATGCGTGCAACTGCACCCATGTCGTGCATTGCCACGTAGGTCAGGAGAGGGCTTTGGATTCCCCTGGAACTGGAGTTAAGAATGGTTCATAGCTGCCATGTGGGTGCTGGGAATCGAACCTGGGTCCTCTGTAAGAGCAGTCAGTGCTCTTAACCACTGAGCCATCTCTCCAATCCTAAAATAAGTTTTAAAGTTTCTGAAACTTTAGTTTTCATTGGCAACTTTCCCAAGTCTTTACTATTTCATAAATTATAGGAAACAAATACTCAACAGTCAATAACTCTTTGCTGTTAACCAGTGTCTGGGATAAATGCATGTATGAATTCAATTAAAGTTCACAATAACTTTTTTTGAGATAGCTCTATTGTCTTCCCCATTTAACTACTTTAAATGCTTATCCAAAAGAACTGGTATTCACAATAATTACTTCACGGCCTCGTATACTGCAAATGAACACACTCTAAATGCCTTCCAGGACATGACAATAGTTCAGGAATAGTTTAACAGGGCAGAGTTTATGTCATTCACATTCTTATTCATAAATTATGAAAATTTAATTTTTAAAATCTTCAAGAATATTTTATTCTATCCCAAATAGATCTTTTATTTGGAAGCAAACAATTTGGCATTACCTTTAACACTAAACTGAAATTATTATTTTAAGGAAGACAGGGATGTACTTCGGACCATAGACAAGGCGCATCTATCAAACTCTCAGGGACAGTGATGAGAGCAGATGATATTGTGAATGAGTTTTATTATTGTATAGCCATTTACTGGGAATAAAATATATTGCAGTAGATGCTTGGGAATGGAGACAAGAAAGAAGAACAGTGCAGATTACAGTTAATGACTTTTGTCCTGAGGAAAGATACAGAATGGCTTAAAGAGAGATAAATTTAAAGTCATATACAACTATTAGCACAAAAATACCATAAGAATAAAATTTAAAACTTTCCTATGAAGTAGACATCAAAATAAAAAAATAAAGTGGAACCACTGCATAATATAAAAATCCTAACCATTACTGCTGAAAAATGATTAAAATCAATCATATCAATAAATATAAATAGAGATCATGTGTTTACAGGGGCTCAGAAGGTAGCACACGGTAGAACAAGACCCCAGCAGGCATGAGACCCTGAGTCATTTCCAAGACTGAAAATAAACTTTGATAAAATATCAGTGTTTGCAAATTGACTGAGGGAGGCAATTCCAATATTTTTGTTTTTAAGAGATATAATTAGAAATAAGAAGATTTAGAACATGAAAAGCCTAAAATGATCAGTGGAAGATATATGTTCAGCATACACAGCACCAGTTTCAGTGTCTACACCAAGAAAAACATGAAAAAACTTTAAAACTATCCTCAGAAATTATACATGGAGAGAAAGCTTAATATTTCTATTCTAAAATTATTGATTAAGTATTATTGGATAAAGTGAGTAAACATTTATTGATAATATAGTTCTGTTTTGCTCGATGCTAAAAATGGCTGAGGTTCACAGAAGGAGAAGAAATGAGATACAGTGTTAAGTGAACCAGTCAAATAAAATTTAAACCGTAGACATCACAAGATTTCAAATGGCCCATATAATATTCATACTGATCTGAATTCATGATGCTGAATAAACACCAGCATAAACTCATGATTCAATTTGAATGTATTGAGAATGCCTCAAAGTAATCATAAGTCATTACTAAGCATCCAGAATGCCCACATTGCCGCCAAGCAATGTCATCTCTCACCTGAAGAAACAAATAAGGGTTAGGACAGAACATTTCCTTAAAATGGCTTGAAGATCTTGGCATACCTGCTGTAGGAGAGCTTGCTGGTACCAAGGCCAGGTCAAAAGACTAAAAACTGCACTGGGCAGGTTCCCACTGGAGAAATATAACAATCTGAGCATCAGTAGGAACAAGAACTATGCCTCATTATGTCTGTTTAAATCCTTGAA